CTGAACTGAACCAAAGATGGTATTGCCAGTAGGGATTAGCTGTGGGATCACAAGTTTAGCAAGATGCCACTCGATCCTCCGACTCCGGTCGGTCTATAGGGGGAATGTGGGGTCGCGAAATTCGGAATGCTCGCACTTCCTCGCGAACCCCAACAAACCCTGGGTCGCCCAGTTGACCCTATGAATACATCAAGGAAAGAGGGGGACCACGGTATTCTATCGTTCACACCGCCTGGCGGCACCCCCAACAATCCCAGGGTCGCCCCGTTGACCCTATGTATCCCTTGGCAGTAACAGCATAAAATCAACAATCTATAAATGCACACACACGAAAAGAGAAAATATGCCACTAAAAAGAAAATATACACATAAACTCAGAAATATAGAATGTACATTTATTACAATACGTTACGGTTTGATCAGAATGTCACAAAGGTGTGTAGCGAAACGGAAACTCAATAAACTCGAAGATGTCAAAAAGGCACGTCCGTTTAGAATCACGCTAAGGAAAAGGACGAACATGGCGGCCATTCCGCTGTGTGTCATGGGACATGAAGGCACACTACGGTTGATCAGAAGATTTAGCGAATTGAATCAGACGCAAAGGAATTTGCATATTTAGCGACTGTTTGGGGTAGGTCGAAAGAAGAAGATAAGAATTTGTAGAGTGACTCTGCTTTATTATTTTGACACCAGTATTGTGAAAATAGAACATAATGTCCTTGCATAGCACACATTTTTCAGGGACAGGTCAGCCAAAAAAGTATACTTTTTCCACTGCGGCTTTGAATTTTAAATAACAAAACCACATGTCTGATTGAGTTCAAACTTCACATCTTTAAAATGATAAAGAGGTTGTTTCTATGCCCAAGTTTCAATATAATTTTCAATATAAGTTTCAGTAATTGAAAACAAGCACAGCCAAGTCTTGGGGGCAGAACCCCCCCATGAAACGTGCCAAAATAACTAGGCTCTTTGAGGGTTAAGTTGAAACTCGGAGGCAGAAGAGATGGTAAAATTTCCCTCTCACACATTCACACATACATAGATACATATAAATAAATCAGAGACATATTTCATCCATGACATAAAAGGGGTCATGCAAGCTGGACTTTTAAACCCACAAAAACTGATGCCTCTTTTTGCATGTACATTAAAACTAAGTATTATGTTACAATAAAGAAAACAATTATGACAAGTTAGTACAACAGCATGTAAGAATTAGGAAGTCAATATGAACTAAAAAAATCTCAAAAATTTAATGGCTTTGCATTGTATCTGGGCATGCATATTTTCTGCCTTCCTTTCTCAAGACCCAAAGTTTACACAGTGTTTTAATGTTACCTCGTCCCAAAAGAGGTCTTGGGTTATAATTTCAAATTGTTTTCCTTTTGCAGACTGTACTTGTTCTTTTCTGAGCTTTCGACTTTTCTACTGGTAAGCAGTGTTCCAGTGGTGAACCTTTGATCTACTGCCTATTCCTTTTGTCAAATAGCCTGCTCTTCCTTCAGTTTATCTTTAATGTTCCCTTTAGTGTTCAGAGTTTTAGCAAGCCCGGCATTCCCAACCTTTGCTATCGTGCTGACTACATGCCTGCCAAATTTTGTCTGTGCTCTGCATTATTTTTCTTTGGACCAGAAGACCTAAACATCCAAGTCTTCCCCTTCATGAGTGTTGGCTCTCTATCTAAGTTTTGAGTTCCTATTTATATCATTTCATACTATTGTGTTTCTTTTCTAGGGTTTAGCCATTGCATTTTTTCACTGTGACTCTTGTTGTAAATTGTGAAAAGAAGTTTAGCAATTTATTTTATGAAGTCTGGACTTTGGGATATTTTTTAGAAGTCCAAGCAAATTTATAATGTAGAAGGTTTTGGTACATGCATCTTGTAATTTCCACTAGCCAGTAATGTTCCAAGACTAGATCCAAAAAGCTGTTTCCTCAGAAAGCTTTGCTTTTACATCTAACTTAAGACATGTGTTTACTGAATTATTTGAGGTGGTTTGGGGTGTACTTTTCAATCACTTTCACTTATAACTTAGTGGAGGCTGGGAATAAGTTGTGCCCTTCCCTGCATTGAGAAATATGAGCAGATTCTGAATATATGTGTAAGTCAGGATTTATCACCCATCATATCCATGGCGTATGCGATAGACTTACTGTAGTCCTACAGTTTGGATTGATGCTTTTGTAATGCTTTTCTGATGACTGTGGTTTATTTGAACAGGGTTTGTGAATATTCGATAGATTCTGATATGCACTAAATTCATCAGAAGTTATAGACATGAATTGTATCTTGGTCAGGCTTTAGACTTTGTTTTCATATATACCTATATATAACCAGTCTGATTAAGAGTTGGAGTTTTTACCAATTGATTCCTACCTCATACAGTAAAACCTCTTTAACAGCACTGTTACAAGGACATTTTTAGGTCCCAAACCTTTTGTTAGTCATTGTTTTCATTCCTGATAATACACCGTTCCTGTTATAACAAGGTAATTTGCCAAGTCCAAAGGACCTCTTATTAACGAGGTCTGACTGTATGTGGGACTGAGAAATGTATTCCTAGGGTAATCCTGTCTAGTTTTAAGATTTGTTCTAAGTCAGTGCCTCAAATATATTTTCACTTTACATGTTAACTTACATGCAAGATGGTATTTTATTTTGAGGTTCAGACACAATGTACAGTTATCAAAGCGTGTGAACCATAGAAAGTCGGATGTGTTGGTCTGACCTCGTATGTGTTTTTATAATAGTAATGAGACATGGAACACTATGCTGTCTTAGTTACTGCACTGAATGTTCTGAAAGAGGGTCTGGAGGAGAATATCTGCACTCTACATGAACAGCTCTCCCCAGGCAACTCAGCCACCAAGAGATATATATTGTGCAAGATCCCCAAGTACACCTTTGCATTACATTTCTTCTGCTGAACTTTTGCTCATCACTTTGGCCAACTGGCTACACAACATGACGGACTCCTGTTCTTCCACCTTGGAACAACTTGTCGCAACTCATGTCTACATGTACATCTAGAACTTTGGCACCATTTTGTTTTTCTTGAGCTCAACGTGTACTCCAACTTAACAGGATCCTGCATTTTCTGTAAATCTCCTTTTTTAATTTACGGCCATCTGAATTGGTGCTCTCTGCATATTTCTCATATTGATAAGCTTGTCTATTCCCTCCAATAAAGCAAAATCTCTTTTGTACATAAATCCTGAATTGTGTGAGGTCAAGGGCCTTTTCAAAAGGGAATTTAATTAATCCAAAATTTGGTTCTTGCTATTTTGAAATGTGAACCACGAGTTACATTAACATATATTTACGCACAATATGAAAACAATGTGATACAGACTGCTTTTTCATTCTCAATCTATTGTTACTGTTACAGTGATTAATCCTTGAATCTGGAATTACACTATTCTACTATTGCATTTATTTTTACTGTGGGTATTTAATACCAAATTGCCAATACAGAATCTTGACTAAAGTTTCAATAATTGTCAGTTTAGCATTTGGGCAGTAAGGTGTTTTCATACGTAAGTAGGTATAGCCTGTTTTTTTAACATCTGACAAAGGAAACCTTGTCTGTTTTAACTATACAAATACCAACGCCTGTCCTACTTTACAGTAAGACCCCTCAAAAACTAATGTTTCTGGTTTCTCCACCGACCGACCTAAAATTTTTATCTGCAAATTAGAAAAACAAATTTAAAAAAAATAAAAATATAAATCCTACTGTCTTTCTGTCTTCACAAAGCACCCCTAACAAACCTTTTTCTCATCTTGAAATGTTGCATTTACATGTTTTCTTACACAATTATGAAAGACGTAAGAGCTTTTGCAGTGTACCATGTGTCCCTTAACTTCTTTTTCACTATTGTTGACTATGTAAGTTGCGTTAAGCTGTTGTGATGTCGTTGACTATGTAAGTTGTGTTAAGCTGTTATAATGCAGTTGAATATGTGAGTTGCATTTAGCTGTTGTGATGCAGTTGACTATGTAAGTTGTGTTAAGCTGTTGTGATGCAGTTAACTATGTAAGTTGTGTTTAGCTGTTGTGATGAACAAAAAATTTTAGCAGAGGACAGCATTATATTTTGGTATCTTGATGGGTCTTGGTCAGGCCCAAGACCTAATCCTTGGTTAAACTGTGTCAAACAGGTTCTGTTTACATGTAGAACATGTACGTGTTACCGGTACCTACTACTGCAGCAGCATGTGGCTGACAGGTAGTCAGGTAACATTTTAACATTGTACAGAGCAGGATACCAGCAGGAAACTGGCCCTTAACTGAAGAAAGGCAGTGAAGCAACAGCATGTGCAGATATCCATACCAGTGCATGCCAGGATG